GAATGAATGAATGAATGAATGAATGAATGAATGAATGAATGAATGAAGCAGGAATCCAACACCTCTGGAGGATATCAGATTGCAAGAAAATTGACATCTATTCTGTGCAAAAGTAGAACTCCAGACTGGGTTTTCCCTCTACAATGATCAGGACTCCTCCTTTCATTGGCCTTTTTTCTCCGTAGACTTCAACTCCAGGTACAAAGAGACGTCTATTCTCCATTTCTCCTCAGGAAGGCCACCAAAACAGCCTAAGCAAAGTGTGTATATTTAGAGGCATTTAGACTGGCTGTGATGGGCCATCAAACCAAAGACAAAACATAGGAAAGGACAATTATTCTGGTAGGACAGGAGAAGGGTGAATTTCTATTTATACACTGTAGATTTCCTATTTTATTTGCTAAGTAAATCCACTTGTTGAGCTGTATTTATCCTTTTGCATAATAGGTTAGGATGGAATGTATTCAGTATTTTGAGACATGGATATTCGCAATAAAGATTTATTGAACCAAAAAAAAGTGCAGTAAAAATTAAAGCAAAGAAAGGGAGTCATAATGGCACAAAACAGTGCTCTAAAAATATGTTGCACCAAAGCTCTCAAATTACAGCAGTGTGTGGGGGACAGATCTGAGCACTTACCTGGCAGAAAGCGAGCCTTGGAGGCACAGGTGAGGGAGCAGCTGTCCTTCTTGCCATTCCTGTTGCAGGTAAGTATGGCTCGTGGAGATACTGTGCCAGCCAAACAAATCACCAGCTCTGAAGAACAAGCATCAATTGATAGCACTATGCAGATGAGAGTGCAATTCACAGAGGAGCAGCCAGACTCTGCCACTGGGATGGCTACAGTGCAGAGCCACACCTGAATCTCCAGCAGAAACAAATAAGCATCAGTGCACTATTGCTATCGCCACTTGCCTCTGCCATGGGTTATGGCACAAGTCCTGCTCATGTTGAGCTCTGGCTCATTCAGCTCATTGCTGATGCAGTAACTTCTAGAAGTATGCATTGCCGGTCCAGAGCCACAAGTTGTAGAAACTTTAGAAATTTAGAATTTCCCAACACAAAGGTGGTTGTACATTTTTATCTTTCATTTAAAGCTTTGTTTCAATATGCTTGGAAAAAGAAAAAATTGAAAAGGCCCAACCCATAAAAAACAAATAGGACTTTTGAGCAAACAAAAATCCCTTTGACACAAAACCATGACATGACAAGGAGCTCTTTTTACTGGCATCAATCTGAGACTGCTGTGCGGAATATCTATTCCATTATTGATAATCTTTAAGCTTTAGACACTTAAATCATGAGACAAATGCCATGCATTAAAACATGTGTGTTTTGTTGTTTCAAGTGTTAAATACAGGTTCTAAGCAGCAGTGGATAAGGTGCTCAGAGATCACCAATGTTTACAACTATCTTCCTTCTTGGCTGGTGTAATTTTCACCCCAGTTAAGGCCTATCTTGTTGAAATGCATTCCCCCACTAGAGGGCAGCAGGATTTCAAGCCTTTTCTATACAGTACTCACCTATGCAATCTTTTTTATTCCAATGAAGTTTGCAACCTGCAGGACAGGTACATTCGTAGCTACCTGGGGTATTTACACATCCAAACTTGCAGCCTCCTCGGTTGATGCTACATTCATCAACATCTGTAGGGAGACCAAGAAATATAATTAACAAACTATTTGGAATCCATAAAGCAAACTTTCTGACTGGAATAATCATTATGACTCCTAGTTCTAATCCAGGAACTATAACTGAGACTGGTAAGTGGAACAAAAAGAATTATGGATTAAGAGAAAGAAAAAATGGGATGAAACAACAGCAACTACAAAAAACAAACTGCTGTTGGTTCAGTTTGTCATTCAGGAGAGAGATTTGGCTCCTCACTTAATTGATTATACACACTGGACCATTAGTGTACAGGACACTATAAAATCAGCAAGAGAAATAAGACCCTATTCCAAGATACTTGCAAGACTGATAATGAATTGGAAACAGAGGACAGGAAGCTAGCAAGAGAGAAGTGGGGACAACTGCAGCTATGAGCTTTGCTACCACTTTGCGATAAGGAAGTAAGACAACTCCTTGGATGCCTGCCATTGCACTTGGTTCCAATGATCTTACAGGCATGCTACAGTGGTTCATGGCAATAGGGATTTACTATATGGCTGTCCCCTTCAGTACTGATCTGGGAACATTTGGCCCTGTACCAAACATATGAATGTATTATACAATACTTTCTCTGCCTGACTAATATAAACACAGTATACATGCTGGTATACTGTGTTTATATGCAGCAGTCTTTCCCTCTCCAACCTGGTGCCCTCCAGAATCTAGCAGCAGTTATGCCCAATGCATCTGGAGGGCATTAGGTTGGAGAAGGTTAATGGACAAATTATGCTTAATGTTGCCCATATTTTCCTCTTCTTTTTCATCATTATTCTTCTCCATGAAACCTGAAAGTGAAGACATTATATAAAACTATAAAAAAAAAACCTTTTCACTTCTTAAATGACTAGAGAATCAAATATAGGTTGAACTGTGCTTCAATTGGAATCTCCATCTTTTTTTATACCTATTCTATTAAGCACTTGCAAAATCATCCTTCACTTTAACAGCAAAATTACTTTGGAGGCAGTATAGTACTGGGTAACAGGGGATTGCCTTGAAGCATGTTGAGATGATTTCAAGAACCTGTCATTCAAGACCATCCACAGCACTCTTTTGGGCAGATAACAGGAATCTGTATGTCCCTCTCATCTCCCAGACATACTGTATGTTTGGATTAAATGGAATGAAAGCATTTTTAAATTGGTCTCATTGCTCTATAAAAACATTATGTGTGTCTTCACCCTGATATTACCTAATCCTTTCTACATTTTGCCTTGCAACACAAAACCACAGGATTAAACTGGTAGAGAAACATTTTTAAAGCATGCTTTAATTTGGCAGGCTGAACTAGAGCTTTGTGGAAAACTATGTTCAGAGGTCTATTGCCTTCAACTCATATGGAAATAAATAGAGGAAAGCAGATGAAAGAAAAGGAGATCTTCATCTAGAGTAACCTTCTCAACCTTGTGACCCCCAGAAACACTGGACAACATGTCTTATGATCAAAATATCTCATTATCAAAATTTAATATTTCCAGATGTTGTAGAGGGTTAATCCAGGGGCTTTAGGAAAATGAGCTCACTGTTACATATTTCTGCACCTTCTTCTCATGCAGTTGGGCCCACACAGAAACATCTGAAAAAGCATCTGATGAAGTCCTCAGTATCAGGCGAGTTTACAATTTATTCGTATTACTCGTTTAGCTCACAGCAGCCATACTTTCCATAAAATCCTCCTGACTCAAGCAAGCTATACAGTAACTTCTACATTCCCTTTTCTATACCACAATTACTGGTTCAGAAGCCCTATCTTTTTTAGCACTTCAGCACCTCCCTAAACCTGAGGGAGGGACAAGCATATTTTAAAGGCATTTCAGAGTCCCTTTGACATACAGTATTTGAGGAGCACTGACTAACTGACAAGCAAGACATCTTCTTCCTCATTAATCAATGTAGTGGTTAGCATTTAAAAATGTAGATCAGGGTTTCTCAATCTTGGCAACTTTAAGATGTGTGGATTTCAACAGCATGCTAGCTGAGGAATTCTGGGAGTTGAAGTCCACACATCTTAAAGTTGCCAAGGTTAAGAAACCCTATTGTAGATAATTACTTTGACCTGTGCCAACCTTGGTTTTGCCAAGTAAAGGAACTGGCAACCAGTGATGAGCGAGACCCTGAATGTAATTCCAGAGATCAAGTGTGATGAAGAACAGAGAAAAATGGAAAGGCATGGGAGCTGAAATTCAAAAAAACAGCTGTGTCAGTCAGCCTGCCAATTCTACCCCTTTTCAGCATTCCTGCTAACTTATGGCACATAATTTAACAGCCATGGGAATCAGCACTAAAGGTCTGACACAAAAAAATACACACAAACACAATGACAGCAGGAGAAACAAAACAACCATAAAGGGCCACTTTGTTCTGAAAGCTTCACATACAAATATTTCAGTTTTCCTTCCAAGCTTTGCCAGACCACACTCCCACACAATGTGGCACATTCAGGTCATGACTTTGCTCCCAGCTCCTTGGAGTAGGCTGAGTGCTGACTCATATGTCACTGTCAAGGGATTCTTCAGCTTGGCTTCATCCCATCTTGTTCTTTTATGTAACTCACTTCTCTTACTCTAAGTGAGTCCTGAATTCTGAATATCAACTTCTTGCAAACCAGTAAAGAGGTTACTCTACAAAGTTTCGTGAAGGTGGTAAAGGTTTAATAGATGCTAGCTAGATCCAACCAACATGCTTAACCAAAACAAACTAATCACATTTCTTCACTTTCAGATATATACTGTATTTTTCCGACAATAAGACGCCCCCATGTACAAGACGACCCCCACTTTTCAAGCCT